CAGAGTGTCCCATAAGTTTTTGTCAACTGCTTTTGTGTAGATAGAACGCACTAAACTGAATTGAAAAGTCCTGTATCATTTTGCAATTTTCGCAATAGTTAATAAGATATTAATTACTAAAAGTCACTAAATATTGGTTTTTAATAATTTTTTATTCAAAATATTATCAACTTTACAGAAAAATTTCAAGAGACAAAAATCATTAATTTTTTTCTCATAGAACTTTAAAAACGTTTTCAGAACTTTTTAGTACTACATTTTCTTATTATATTATATTTCTCCAATATGAGAAAATACGGTATTAAAAAATTTTTAAAAAATTCTGAAAAAATTCTCAGAACTTTATGAGAAGAAAATAAACAATTTTTGTCTCGCTGTTTTTTTGTAAAGTTGATGATATTTGAGTAAAAAATTATTGAAAACCAATATTTAGCAATTTTTGATAATTAATAGCTCATTAACCATTGCAAAAATTGCAGAAAGGATTTTTCGATTCAGTTTAGTCCACTCTACAAAAGCGGTTGGCAAAAACTTACGGATACCCTGTATACACACACACACACACACACGCGCGCGCGCGCGCGCACGCACGCACGCACGCACGCACGCACGCGCACGCACGCACGCACGCAAACATAGGGTGTCTATAAAGTCTATTATCACTCTTTTATTTTTAAAACAGTTCAAAATTATAAAAAATCGCAAAATGTTCAATTATTTCAAAGGATCACTTTTTTAGGAGATTTAAGAAGATTGTCCTCCCCACATGTTCTAGAATGGCTTCAATTAAAAAATTTCAAAATGAACCTCCTATATTACAGCACATATAATATAAAAGAAAGATTTTGTTTTCAATGTAGAGGTTAATAGATTGATCCGTTTAGAAGTTATTTAGTGTCAAATTTGAAAAATTCCATTTGTTATTCTTCAATGTTGGATTTATTACAGGAAGCTGTTGAAAATGAGCACTGTTCAAATTTTGGCAATAAAATATTTGATTATGAAATTGTTGTCTTATATTTTGAAATATTTTTTTAGATATCTACAAGCTACTGCAATTCACTGTGATTCAGAGCATGCTCAAGCACGCTGGAATAAAATTTGCAATAAAATTTTCGTGAACACAGACTTTAGGCACTGCAAAAAACAGTTTTGTGCAGTTAAATAAATTATTCCTAATAGCATTAAAGATTTTAAGATAGTCCTAAAGTGAATCTGTTTTATCAATTTTTTTAAACAATATTTTTTAAACTGCTTTTACAGATAAAAAATCCTCCATAATTAAAGTATAAATGATAATGTAGTCTAAATCAATCAACTTTATGAAAAATAAAAATAAAAAAGAAATGGGAAATTACAGTTTTGTTACCGACTTTTAATGTCTTGTAATAATGTAGTAATGTTTTATATATGAGTTTTATATTTTGTATGTATAAAACAATCTTGGTTTGACTAGATATTACATGAACAATATTAAGTACTCAGAATTAGGTTTAGATACTTAATATGAAAGATTAGTTAGAAAATTTGTATACGTGTGTGTGAGTATAATATATTATAATAATTGATGTAATAGTATATAAAGATATGGCAATGTATCGTATTTTATCGATAAAACAGCGATCTCATCAGAGTTTAGGCTTCACTTTAGGATCCTCTTAATGCGAGAATTACGACAGTTTGTCTAAAAAAACATTTCAAAGAGTAAGATAGGAATTTCATGATCGATTATTTTATTGCCAAAACATCAACGATGTCTTTTCTGAATAGTTATTGCAGTAAATCTAACACGTATTGAAGATAAGAACAAATTTCTAGACTTTTTTGAACTTTAACACTGAATAATTCTCAAATGGGTCAATGCATCCATCGAAATTAAACAAAAAATTTCTATTTTTATCCTATTAAATGATGTACTACAATATAAAGAGTTTTATTTGAAATGTTTGGGGCACCCCCTTGCAGAGGCAATCTCCTCAATCCTTTTAAAGAAACATATATTTCGTGGTTTCTTATAATTGTGATTCCAAAACTTTGTAGAACCTTGCGTGCAATTTGTGCAGTTAAAACTATAGCATTGCCTAATAGCATTGGCATACAATTCATGCACATTGGCATGAACAAATATCTGATATTTTTTTTTTGTCATTTTTTTTCTCTCTCTTCTCTCTTAGTTATGCCAGATGGATCTATGTACACAGCGGAACATGAAATGAGTTTGCAGATGGAAGGTTTGACTAAACCAAGAAGGAAACGTGGACGTCCACCTAAAATCCACACAGATATAGATTTAATGGTTTGTAACAATAAATTCTAATTATTAATTCCTGTATTATAATACTCATATATTGTATATATTGTATAATATATGTATCTATTCTACATAAGGCAATAAAAGAAAATCCTGCAGAAGCTATGAGTCAAGGTGAAGAAGATAAGCAGGAAGAAGAAGAAGAACTGGATGGTGATGGTAGACGCAGAAGAAAGCGCAAAGTTCCCAAAAGGTATGTTAAATTGAAAATTATAAAACTTCTAAATTATAATCTACTAATAATCATGTAAATTATAATAACTTACAATTTACATGATTATTAATGATTAATATGAATATACTAAGTAAATTTACGCGCAGATTTTTAGAAGCAGTGCAGGGAAAAGAATTGGAAAGGATATTCAAGGAAGAAGGTGTAATTGATGATGAAGATGATGATTCTGAAATGATTGATGATTCGAAAGATTTGTTAAAAGCTAATCAGGATGATCAAGAAGGTATACATAACGAAGGTATACATAATAAAATGTCAAAGAAGAAAAAAAAGAAATTCTTTTGAATTTATGCATATTACATTTTTCAGAAGTAATAGGTCATCTTGAAACAGAAGAGGGTACAGACTTGGGTGAGGTAGTAATTATGAACCGTGGACGAATACGACCGAAATCAAAATTGCGTCGTAGAAAAAATAAGTTTACATGTCAACTCTGCGGCAGGGGTTTCCTACAACGTAGCAGATACATAGTACATAAGTAATATTTCATACGCACGGATTATGTACAAAGACTGCTGAACATAAAATTCTTTTTCTGCGAGTTAAAAGACGGAATTTAAAAATGGCCAATTTCGGCCATTTTTCGGTGAATAGAGAGTTTTGTAATCTATGCAGTTGTCTTGAAAATCCATACATTCATTTGAAAGAAAATTTATTTTGACCACGAAAGTTTGAAAAACCGTCCAAAAATAATAAATTGTTTGAACATTTTGCAAAAAAATTCATTTTGTGTCTATGATAATGAACGATAGATTTCGAAGTTAATGATGTATTCACATTTAATACATGTTGGACCAAAGATACCCAGATAGCAGCATATCTACCTTGTTGCTGGCATGTTGCTTGCTAAGTATGCATTGCTAAATATGCGTCACTACTAGAATTGCAGTAACTTCTTATTTATTGGCAACTTGATGCCTTCATGATATAACATTGAGTAATAACTAGTAGTTTGCTGATAACTTTAAAATCATCATCAAAATTTGTACTATTGCTATTATGTTGCTATAATAATATGCAGCATCATACATACAATGCTGTCATATTGCTGTTAATGCAAGCTAGAAGAACATTGGATGCAGCTATTTTGCTGTTTAACTGCTGGCAATACATGTATACATTATTATTTGCATGTTGCTACAATGTCGTTATATTCGAAATCATTGAAGACAAATCTATGGTAAGTTGCCAGCATCATAAGTAATCACGGATTTGTGCAATTTTGCTGAAATACGTTTTGCTATCTAGCAAATTAATTTTTTATGTAATATGATTCAAAATAATTAAAGAATTGTTTTGCATATAAAAATGTTAAAGTAGAGATCAAGAAATCAATTAGTTTACGAGATATTTAATATTATTTCATGTTACACTATATGTGCTAAAATAAACTATCTCGTAAAAACTATTAGTTTTTTTTATATCTCTACTTTAACATGCAGAATAATTAAAGGAGTCATATTATAAAAAATTTATATTATTCCATTAATAAAAAATGGAGGTAACCTTCATGTTATCTTCACTTTAAAAAAATCTATTTTTTTTTTTGAAAATTGATTTTATCATTATTTGTTCCTTCCAAGCCATATAACTTTTATCTGAAAGATTTTTGAGTAATTATACCCTCTTATGACTTTGACATATATTATCAAGGTCATAACCGTGAGAAACTTCCAACAATTTTAGCTGTCAATCTTGAGTAACCTGTAACAAGTCTTAGGTTATTATATACCCATGGATATATATAACCTAATCCTAACCAAGCATGAGTATATTAGGTGTAGTAAAAAGAAATCCATTATTTTTGCGTGAAATTGAATGGAAAAATAATGGATTTCTTTTTTATAATAACCTAACTAAACTATGTATCGTATATATGTAAAGCAGGAAAAAATTTTCTGTTCTACGAATAAAAATTATATAAGGAAATATGAAAATCATGCATCCTCAAGCAAGGGGGGAAGGTGGAGTGGGAATCGCGTGGAAAGTTGTAAAATATACTTTAAAGCAGAAAATTTCTTTATATGGAAAAGGATATTGTATATGTTTTTTCTTAAACTTTTTTTTGTTAATAATTTTTTAATAAAGGAGCAGTGGCTAAAACTTGCTGGAAGTTACTCAGGGTCATGATCTTGATAATATATGTCATAGAGGAGGAGGAAAAGGTCTCTTATTTGATCAAACAATTTACTTTATTACTTTTGAAAGATTTTCCAAGCTTCTCTGGGTAAATAAGCTTTCTTTTATAAATTTATGGACTTTCAAGATGATAATTGCATAGATTACAAAGGTGTCTATTTATGGCCAAAATAGGCTATTTTTTCCTTCCTTTCTCTTTTATTTTATAATTTTCAATGTTTTATATATATAAATTGTACATTACAAGTATGTAAATGTTTACATATTTGTAAGTTCTTAAAATTTTTCATTTAAAATATTAAGATATTTTTAGCTGTACATTCAGTTTTTTAATAAAAAGTTTTTGCTTTAATTTAACTTTAGGAGTTTTCACAAGGGTATTAAGCACGAGTGTATACAATGTAAGAAGCTATTTGACAGTAAAGATAATCTAGCATTGCACCAAAAGATGACTCAACATAATTCAATTTCTTCCGAAGAAAATGTTGAGACACAGGAATTTCATGAGCACAGTCCAGAACAGAACATTTCCACGATGAAATTAGACATAACAGAAGATTCCAGAAATATGATTTATATATGCAAAAGATGTGATAAGCAATTTGGAATGAAACAGGAATACGAATTGCACATGAGAGTAGTGCACGAGCAGCAAGAATTTACCTGTAATATTTGTGATAAGAATTTCACAAATCAATCGGATTTAAAAACACATATGACAACTCACAACGGGGTTTGTGTTTTATAAGTAATAACAATAGTGTTTTATAAAGTTATTACATTATAATAATTAAAAAAAAATTTTTTTTAAACAAAATATTTTCAACTTTTAAATATTTTACATAATTTTATAATTGTTTTAAATTACACATAATATTTCTACAGCTTTTTAAATCTTTATATGTTATAGAAAAATAAGGATAAGGATTATGCTTGCGATATCTGCGGTAAGATCCTAAATCACCCAAGTTCCGTTTTGTATCACAAGGAAGCTGAACATAACAATGGGCGCCGTTTTGTTTGTAATAAATGCAACAAAAGTTTTAAGCACAAACAGTTGCTTCAACGACATCAGCTGGTGCATTCGGATAATCGGCCACACGCTTGTAAGTTTTGTAACTCAAGCTTCAAAACAAAGGCAAATTTAATTAATCATCAGTCTACTCATACTGGCCAAAAAAAGTATCTTTGTGAGATTTGCAAACAACAATTCGCTCACAAGACTAGTCTCACTTTGCATTACAGGTAATATGAACATATCATTTATTTTAATGCATAAAAATTCCAAAATCTAAAGAGAAAGAAATATACTCGTTCTTAAGTTCTTCATAACTTTTAAATAACATGTACTTTTTATTTAATTTTTTTTATTCAAATCTCTGAATTAAGATTTAATTAGTTGCTACCGCAAAATGAATATATTATTTAAAAAATTGTAATGTTTTAGATGGCACAACGGTCAAAAACCATATACTTGTACGGTATGTCAGAAAAGTTTCTCGCAGAATGGCAATTTGCAGGAACATATGCGCATTCACACTGGCGAAAAACCATACAGCTGTGATTTCTGTGGCCGAAAGTTTACCACATCGTCGCAATTCAAACTGCATGTAAAACGGCATACCGGCGAACGACCGTGGAAGTGTGAGTTTTGCTCGAAGAGTTTCTTGCACAAAGATACATGGAAGTGTCACGTGCGCCGACATAAGGGAGAACGTCCGTTCCAGTGCAATCAATGCAACCGCCGGTTTACAGAGCAATGGGCGCTCAAGAAACACCTTCGTTTACATACTGGTAATTGAAAATGATAAATTGTTTTTTTTTTTTTTTTTACATAAAAAGATGTAATAATGATAAACATATATATGAATGTTCTTGTGTATTATTTTAATTTATGTATAATTCGAAAATATTAATTATTTAACTTTTTGCAGGTGAAAAACCTTATTCTTGCGATGTGTGCGGTAAAGCTTTTGCTGATTGTTCAAATTTGACAAAACACAAAAAGGTACTATAGCAATTTTATTTTTTTAATTTTTAATAATAATTATCGATTTCTGCAGGTACACAGGGAGAATAAGACATTAACTATGAAAAGATCGGAAGGATCTTCGATCGGCGAGGTGTGGCAAATTTTGCCGAACTCACAAGACGAACAGACATTCAATGATCAAATAATAGCCACCGATGAGACATCTAATGATGGAATCCAACAAATTATTTATGTATCCTATCATACACAGGATCCTGAAAATCTTGATCAATCACGAACATTACATTTAGGTAATATAGTAGGATATATTATACGATAAATTATATAATTATATATAATTATATATTAACTTATTAATTAATTAATCAATTATTAATGTGATTATGGAAATTTAGTTGACGCTAACACGATCAAAAACAAAGATGAGATAGCAATAAATGCAAATTCTTTGCCACGTTTAGAGACTAACGAAATTATTACCGATAAAATTATGAGTAATGCAACTAGCAACAATGAAGAACAGTCAGAGATTGAATTATCGGAATCGGATTTACAGTTGCAGGTAAGAAAAATGAATATACTATTATCTTATTATATATTTATTTAAACTATATTATTAAGAGTTTTAATATTATATGTATTTAGCCAATAAGAATAAATTAAGTGAGAGATTCTGTATTCGATCGAAATGGATCTTAGTATTTTAATATATATTTCTTGTGTGAATTTATATACATTTTAACTAGAGATGTAAAAAAAACAGTATTTTTTACTTTGAAGAAAAGTATCAAGTAAAAATTAGGACAAATATTGAAAACAATGGATTCACTTCTAATGACCTTGATATATATTGAGAACTTTTCAACGAGCAATACACTGTGATACAGTGATATAGTGATCATCCTTAATATTAGCGAACAACAAGGATGCAACGATTTATCGTGTCACACTGTGTCATTCTATGTTCTTGTTGAAAAGCTCCGTAAATAAAAAACAGAATTATATTAAAATATATTACACAAAATTTATAAAAAATGTAAATGGCACAAATAATTATTATATAATACCATATGTATAAATAAAAATGCTCTAAAGCGTTATTCAAAACTTGACAAAGAGACAGATTCTGTGTTCGACTATGCTTTTCGGTTGTATCTAATCGTGCCGTTGCAGGAAAATACCATGTGTCGATTTGTGTGTCATTTAAAGCCTTGATGGGAAAGCTCCCATTGTGATTTTAATAATATATATCAAGGTCGAAGTTATTGGAGATGGATCTGTTGTTTTTAATATTTATCAAAACTAATTTTTTTATGATAAAAAAACAATATTTTTAATTACATTAAAATTAACGTTTAATTAAATTCATGAAAAAACTGTAGAATTCATAAATATATAGAATTAATATTTCTTGTTATTTCGATATTATTGAATATTTTTTGTAATTTCATCGCTATGAAAATATGTGTGTTGACTGTTGCAATACCTAATGAAATAGAGTGCATTCCGAGTTACGCATGAAGAGCATGATGAATCATTTATCCTTGTTGTTTATCAATTAATAAAGAAGGATAAAATGATACATTATGATAGTTGGAATTTCGGAAAAGTAATAGAGTGGGAATCAACCAATCAGAATTATTAGATTGCATTACTGTTCGTCCGCATATATACATTAAATACAAGATTATTGAAATTGAATTTCTATATATATAAAAAGAAATTTATTATTAATAAATAATTAATAAATAATTCGATAGTATATTATTAATATATTAGTATTCATTTT